CTCATTGCCAGAATATTAGATTGGCTCTAATAACGAACTGATCCTAGCGATAATAACTACGGACATTCATTCTTTGCAAATCTAACCGTGAATGAATTGCACCAAAATGTTCGCCGAGATTCGCTGCATCTATAGTGCATGCAACGCTTTTTTGGGCTGAGATATGGGTTTTCCCTAGAACCTTGATTTCTGAGATAAAATATTTTTTTTATCAATGCAGGAACGTTTTGTATAAAAAACGAATGTGATATTTGCAATCATCGCACGAAACTGCATCAGATGATGTTCAATTTGCTAGTTTTATAAATAAAAATCTTTTGACAAAAATTCAAAGCAAGGGTCTGCCTCACGGATTTTTCATTGGATAAAAAATCTTTTTCGAATTTGACTTGTCCTATGTCTATTAATATTTGACACATCATAAGACAATATTATGAGAAATAATCATGTTTAACTCAAAAACTAGATGTCCGCCTGCTCTATGGAAAAGTGTCCGTGTAGGGTGAACTCAAAATGTTGCGTCCAGTCCGAGTGCGTGAAAAGCTGTATTTTCAGTCTAGTCCAGTTGATTGAGTAAATTGTCCTATGAACTTTGCAAATTTTTTATTTAGCAATCCTGTGTCTTATAAAGTATAATAAGTATGATTTTCATTGACGAATATGAAGTAGAACTGCTTGCACCTTCTTAAGTTAATACACACAAAAGGGTTTAAGATCTGTTCAGGAGCAAACACATTTCTGTTGCTCTGTAAAAACCAAAGAATACGAGGTAAAAACAAAGACTACAAGTTATTCTCTTCGCGATAAGCTGTTTATTTTATCGTCTCAACGAATAAATAAAACATTACCAACTTGTCTTGGATTTATACTTGATCGCCGTTCTATTTACCGGACATTTTTTACTCTTTTATCTAGATACTTTTGCTGGCGATACTCCAGCTTGTGTATCTAGATTTTTTCTCTTACATTTTCGTGCTTGGAATAACAGGAGATCAGTATTTCTTATACGTTATGTGTTTAGTAACCTATGCAAAAGGTTCTTGAATGACTTCAGAATCTGAATGCACTGTGTGGTCATTGATCTACAACTTAATCATAACAGTTTTTGGGTACATTTTTTTAACACACTCCACTATTGATTTTATATTTCTAAATTAAATTACAAAATCTGCCTGTAGGTATTCTTCAGTAGGTTTAATATTAATTTAATCTACAGTCTAATGTGAAATACCTTATCATTCTACACAGTAATGTAAAAATCAGACAAAAAAAGAAGCCTAACATACTCTTTTCACCTCTTATTGTTGTTTCAATTTTTCTTGAAAAATTGGTCGACAACACTGCTTTTTGAATGACAACTAAAAAAGACATGCACAGTCCATCTAAACCGTTAGTAACGAGAGTTCAACGATTACTTAGTGGATCAAAAGTAAGTAAATTACCTAATAAGAATGTTTAAATATAGTTATTAACGAAAACATTTCAATTTATTAGGTAAGTGATCCATTTCCAGCAACAGCATCAGAACGTTTATGGATATCATTTGATTCACCTGCCGGTCTCACTGCAGATACAAAATCGTCGCTCACCAATCCAAGTACACATCGTGCATCGTCAGTTGTTCCAAAAACACCTCGTGCATCATCAGTTGTTCCAAAAACACCTCGNAACAGCATCAGAACGTTTATGGATATCATTTGATTCACCTGCCGGTCTCACTGCAGATACAAAATCGTCGCTCACCAATCCAAGTACACATCGTGCATCGTCAGTTGTTCCAAAAACACCTCGTGCATCATCAGTTGTTCCAAAAACACCTCGATTACCTACAGCTAGTAAGACTCAATCTGAATTAACATCGCCAACTGAATTAACAAAAGACGTAATATCAAGCGATAATAAAAAGTTCAAAAATTCAAGGTAAAAGAGCTGTATTTCTGTTGATTTACAATAATTAAACAAGAAAGTCTTTTATTAGTAAAATAGCGACATTATGGAAAAAAATTCCTCTCTCATACAAGATACTTTGTATTGTTGCATTAGCAATAATAGTGATTGCCGTGTCTATTATTCCTCCGATCGTTTTATTTCACAATAAAAATAATATCGGTAAGAAGTCTACTTTATAAGATTGCGGAACTGATGCTTCTCTTTTGCTACAGTGTACATAATTTCAAGAATTATCCTGCAGTTTCATATATTCTTTTTATTACTTAGTGAACAGCACAAGTTCTGCATCTTTGTGTAGTGTGTCAACTTGTATCAAATCGTTCACAACATTTCGTTCAAATGCGATCGCTTTATGGACATTTGACGGCTCTTCGACTGATGTTAATTATTTGTATAATGGTATAGCGTACGGCTCAGTATCTTATCCAGTCGCGGCATTTATTGGCAAATCGATATTATTTGATAATTCAGCATCCGAGTATGTAAGTGTACCATTTATTGATCTTACCTATCAAAGCTTTACGGTTCAAGCATGGATTTCTCCAAACAGTGTTTCATCCGAACAAGGAATATTTGGACAATGTGTTTCTACATCACTGAAAGATCAATGTCTCGTACTTAGTTTAAGAAATGGACGTTTACATATGAGTTTAAATTCTGATAATGAAATATTTGGCAATACATTAATAACGGCTGGCAACTGGTATCACGTTACATTTGTTTACGATTATGCCCTCCTCCAACAATCAATCTATTATAACGGAGTTCTTGACGGATCATCAGCTGCTCTCGGAGTCTCTGGTCCATATGTCGGTACAAGTGGTACCATCACAATTGGATACACAACTTCGACTTCTTATCCAAACGGTTATTATTATGGTAATTTAGACAATGTGGTCTTAACAAATTATGCCAAAACTTCTTGTCAAATTCTGAATGATGCAACACTTGTAGCTTACTATCCTTTCGACTCCACAACTCAGCCTTATTTAGATTATGGTCCTTACTATTTCAGCGCTGTCTATTCACAAACAATAACAGTAACAGGTCGTGTCGGTAATGCGTTGCTATTCAATTCTTCAAGTGCTTATTTTCAATCTCAGAGTTTTGTGCCACCGCTAAACGCTAATCAAGCATTCACGATATCGCTCTGGTTGAATCCTAATAGTATTTCTGGTGGTACAATCCTACATGCATCTGTCGCACAAAATGGAACCGGACTCTGCTACGACCTTCTCGTACTAACTTCGACCGGTACTCTGGTTGCACAAACATATAAATCTGGTAACTCGCCTGCTGTGACTGCCGTGCAAGGACCGGCGTTGTCAACAAATACGTGGTCACATGTTGTATTTTCTTACTCTGTGTCTAACGGGATGAAACTCTATCTGAATGGAGCGCTAAATTCTTATTCTTCTTCGGCATTGGCAACTTCACAATATAATTATGCACTTTATTTGACAATTGGAAACAGTTTGCCCGGTGGTGGTGTGAGCTCGAGTTGTCTCGTGGGAAGCATTACAGTTGTATCGGGCAGGTATCAAGGTACGATCGATGAATTATACGTTTACATGCGCGAATTATCTGTTAGCGAAATATGCACATTGGCTAATCCGTAGTCGTAAAGGATAAAAAGCGATTAGTTTTCGATCAGATTGACTCTGATTAATGTTTTTGCTAAATTCGAAATTAAACTGTATCTATTTTCTTCTTCATTTCATCGAATGGTACTACGCCATAATTTTAAAATGCTTTCAATCGACTGAACCTGAGTGGTACGATCGTTTCTTTTTACAGTGACAAAATCTGAAGAGAATACTTTGTTCTACAAAACAAAACATTTCCCAGGGTTCTACGATATTCCTTGTGTCCTATTGTATTCTAAACAAAACTTAACAGCAACGTTTACTTTCATCGTTTTTCTCGACGTCTAGAGCTGATTTTTGTTCTGTTTTCTCAGAAATAATGGAGAGGCGAAGAGGATACCAGGCATTGATTAGTAAAACTGTCCAAAGTCAATGGAATCTAGTTAATAATAATTAATCAAATAGATAAAAGACTGCGCAAATTTTGTAGACCACAACACAGCGTAAAGCTCTTCGAAAGGTCTCATTCTATAGGAAACTTTTCACTCTATCAACTGAAATAGTTTTTTTTAATCAAATTCTCGATGGGAACGGTGTTTTTTAATAACAGCTCTCAAAAGATCCTTTGAAAAATTTCTAGAGGTATCAGTTTTATGTCTGGCGAAATCCATGCAGTCTTGTACGTATATATTTGATTTTTAACTGAATAATCTTACCGTTGGTTTGACTATTGACGGACGAATGTGACGATGTCGTTCCGCCCTAAC